GAAGCGGGGAGTAGAAGAACTCCCAGAACCCCATCAACGAGGTATCAACCAGGTATCAACGAGGTATCAACCAGGTATCAACCAGAAGCGATGTGTCTCACTCGCCAGAAGGCGGGCATAGTGAACTAGGTGTTTAGCTAGGGATATATGATAACCTTATACCTGTTATGAGGCAGTATCCAAGAGCTGAAGCTCGGCAGGCACTGGCTTATAGGTGAATACGTATAAACAGATCCACAAACATTATATCCACGGTTACTCACCCGTCATGATTGGGGAGGGGGGGGGGGTTTCCTAATCTGTTCTTTATTCATTATGGATGTTGGATTTACCAATCAACTGGCAAATGGTCTGCTTTCCAAGGTTCCTTCTCTTATATGTGGAGCGCGTATAAGTAACTGGGCCTCCACTCTCCAAACAGAATTGGTTGCTCTAATCCTTGCACTCGAGTGCGTACATAATCCTTGTACTCGAGCGCGTACATAATCCTTGTACTCGAGCGCGTATATGAATTCAAAGTTGACACGCTAATTGTAAGTGACTCCTTGTCATCCTTGACTGCCCTCAGCTCCCCAAGGCATAACTGTGACGTGCTTATCTCTGAAGCTAGACACAGATATAATGAAATAATCAATGATGGAGTCAGAGTTTGTCTCCTGGGGATTCCTTCCCATATTGGTCTCCGAATGCATGATAGAACTGATGCGTAAGCCAAAACCTTTGCTCATAAAGAGGGAATTGATTGCCATCTTGGACTGCCTTTGAGCAGCCTGAGGGCAGTAATATTCCGGGAACATCAACAAAATCTCGTAGACTTGAGGCAAAATGAAATTCACACTAGTTGCTCCATCTATCATCTTTCTATTATGCAGGAAGAACCGCACGTCTATGGGTCATCCAATAAGATGAGTAGACTTCTAGATGTTACCACTGCTAGGCTCGACTACAAGTACCTATGGAAGTGTATAGCACCTTCAGATGTAGACTTGACTACATGTAAACTCTGTCAGCAAAATTATTCGCATACTTTGAGTTATTATATAATGGAATGTGAAAAATCGCTGAATTCAGAGTTAACACCATTAATGTAGTCCAAGAAATATGTAAGTGCCTCATTCATAATGATGTACTGCCAGGAATCTTAGCAAAGTTTCAACAATTTCCTTACTGTAGGTGCAGCCTGCACATGACTGTAAAGCTGCCGCCCAGTTGGGTGGGTGTGGAGCACATGACTGTAAAGCTGCCGCCCAGTTGGGTGGGTGTGGCGCAAGACTAGTAACTGTGTGACTCACCACAGATGTAAAGTGCCTTGTATAGTGACTGTTGTGAGCCTCTTGTTGAATCACCTGTGATACAAAAAGATTATCGATGTGTACATGTATTTGTGTAAATGAATGTATATATATGTACATGTATATATAACATTACCAATCATGTAACCAGTTTCACAAGATCATCACTTGCTCAGCTAAACGAACTCTGTAATTCAGTTCCTGTACCCATTATGTGCCTCTGTAACCCTTTCCCCCACGGGATAGGTATGGGGTACATAATAAAGAAACAATCAATCACAAGCCTGTTCTCCTGATTTGATAAAAGTCAAATTTTAAGTGACTGTACCTAGCCAGAAGCGACCCATCTTAGACACCCCATCTTAACTATCACTCTGTAATAGGTGTATAGAGATCATCAAGATCGAGATAGGGATCAAGATAGGTGTATAGAGATCCTTCCTCCTCCTCCAGGAGTGATCCCATGTATTCATCAACATATCCCTTACACGCGTGGGTGATGGTTCTGTATGCATAGGGAGCCGGTCGGCCGAGCGGACAGCACGCTGGACTTGTGATCCTGTGGTTCTGGGTTCAATCCGGCGATAAACAATGGGCAGAGTTTCTTTCACCCTGTGCCCCTGTTACCTAGCAGTAAAATAGGTACCTGGGTGTTAGTCAGCTGTCACGGGCTGCTTCCTGGGGGTGGAGGCCTGGTCGAGGACCGGGCCGCGGGGACACTAAAAAGCCCCGAAATCATCTCAAGATAACCTCAAGATGAGTGAGGTGAGGTAATTAATTACGAGGAGAAAAACGCCGAGCCTGTCTAACTATTTCCCACTTGAACAAGGCCTCTGAGGTACAAAGTCTGGGACGGACGGAAGGAACTAGTGCCCAAACGACTTAGATCATCGGGGGAATCGAACGCCGACTCTGCAAGATGCGAGTGTATGTGTGTAGGTGTCTTGGGAGAAGGTAGCGTTATCTCCACGGGTGAAGAGGTTGGTGTTAATGAGTTGGATTTGACCGACGGTCGTTAAATCATGCTAATTACCCCCATCAGGTGAGTCATTGCCCCAGCAAACCTAGCAAATATATTGTTGAATATGACCGAAAGGGTAAGATTAATAATTCTAACACGAATCTTCTTAATATTTCTTACGTTCTTCACTGTCGAGTGAAGTATATATATATATATAATCTCGGCTTGAGGACGAAAGTAAGAAACGAAGAAGGACTTCTTCAGCCTGGCGGCGGCAGCTTCTGCCCAATACTACAGGGGGATGGAGAAAGCAAATTCACATGACAAATCGCTTAAGGTGCGGCTCCCTTTGTGCCCCTCGAGTGTGGAGGAGCCGGGCTACCATTCACCGCCGCTCCTCGAGCAGGGGGGGGTAAGAAAAGGTCCGCCGCCTTCCTCGCCGCCATCACTCCCGCTAATATGTTCACATATCTTGGCGGTTCCTTAAGAGGCCGCTTGTGAGTGCCGGAATGTTATTTGGCGAGGGTTGGGGGGAGTCCATCAGGGAGTGGGCCGTCTCCGGTACTCTATTCCCTCCGCCTCACCATAGGCTCAGAACACAGGTCTATCCGGCCCTATTTGACCTATGCTCTATCCGACCCTCTCACCAAGGGTTGAGAACACAGCTACGGTGCTCTATCCGGCCCTCTCACCAAGGGGTCGAGAACACTGCTACGGTGCTCTATCCGGCCCTCTCACCAAGGGTCGAGAAGACAGCTACGGTGCTCTATCCGACCCTCTCACCAAGGGTCCAGAACACAGCTACGGTGCTCTATCTGGTCCTCTCACCAAGGGGTCGAGAACACAGCTACGGTGCTCTATCCGGCCCTCTCACCAAGAGTCGAGAACACAGCTACGGTGCTCTATCCGGCACTCTCACAAACGGTCGAGAACACAGCTCCGGGGCTCTATCCGGCCCTCCTTCACCATAGGTCCAGAACACAGCTCCGGGGCTCTATCCGGCCCTCCTTCACCATAGGTCCAGAACACAGCTCCGGTGCTCTATCCGGCCCTCTCACCAAGGGGTCGAGAACACAGCTACGGTGCTCTATCCGGCCCTCTCACCAAGGGTCCAGAACACAACTACGGTGCTCTATCTGGCCCTCTCACCATAGGTCCAGAACACAGCTACGGGGCTCTATCCGGCCCCCCTTCACCATAAGACAAAGTATCACACGCCTAAGATGATCACAGGAATAGCGAGGGTTGTCAAAGGCAGGCTGTCTAGCAGCGGAAGTCCACGAACAAGGGCGACACAGATGGTAACTAAGTTCCCAAATAAACCGGCCAACTGAGGTCTGGAATCTTTAAAAGGAACTTTTTAAAAGTGTCAAGATAGTGAGCAAGTGGCATGCGCTAGGAGCCGTGTATAGTGGATTCCAAGACCTTTTACACATATTGAAGGCTTAAATGGCCCCCCCCCCAAGACTATAAATCCCTACGAATTCTATCCTCCGGCCAGGGTTCGACCCTGTATTACCAGGGGGGCACACAGTATCACTTATCACATAGTTACTGAGTTAGTTCATATAATTGATTTGTGATATGTAAATAAGACTGATTTTTTTTTTAAATTTTAAGCTGAAACTTTCCTTGAGGGTTACCTTGAGACGATTTCGGGGCTTAGCGTCCCCGCGGCCCGGTCCTCGACCAGGCCTCAATATTTAGCGTCAATCATGTTAAATATAAACATTAACATACTCTTTAACATCTTTCTGGGCTCTACATTGCACACAATATGCAGGAACTTTTGCTTAGTATGTACAGAAAGCTATTGTCTAGATGGAAAATAGAAAACACTAAATAATTGTGATTTATGTGGAGACTTTTTTTTTAATATTTAATGAGGTGAAATCAAGTAGGGTAAAGAACTTTTTAATGTATATATAAAAGTATTAAAAATCAGTGAAATGTTTATGCACTGGTATGTAGATGTCTTTTTTGAGCAGTTGGCTTCTGAGGGATAGTTTTAGCGTTCTGTAAGGCCGCAGCTGGTGACTGTACAAGCCCAGCTGGTCACTACACACACACACACTCCCAGCTGGTCAACATCACACACACACACACACACACACAGCTGGTCAACACCACACACACACACACACAGCTGGTCAACACCACACTCACACACACACAGCTGGTCAACACCACACACACACACAGCTGGTCAACACCACACACACACACAGCTGGTCAACACCACACACACACACAGCTGGTCAACACCACACACACACACTCTCAGCTGGTCAACACCACACACACAGCTGGTCAACATATGCTTCTAAAACTTTTAATATATAACCACATAACTCTAGCAAGTTCATATTAATTTCAGGCAAGTCGTATTAATTATTCAATTACGTAACCTTCGTTTTGTTTACCCGAGATAATATATGTAATTATCTTGGACAAAACATGATGGTAATATGACCAATGGAATTGTTCAGTTGTGGCATTTTAAACTGATTCAAGTGTTTGGATCTTTATTTACTTCTAAAGTCGCATGATGTTGACATTGTTTAATGATTTTCCTCCACGAGGAAGGCAAGAGCTTGACGGCCCTGTGATTGGCCAATCGGGGGAGCGCAGCTCCTCTCTAGCCCCGCCCCCAGCTCCCTCCTTAACCAATCGCGCGCCTGCGACGCCGGCCCACCGCCCGCTTATAAGCCCATGAAACAGATACTGTGTAGTCATTCCATATCATCGCGTCGTATTGTGCGCACGTACTGTGTGGAGCTCTCTCACCGGGTACAGACGCAAGCCAAGACTTTTGTGTCATTCTGGTGGATACTTATCTGTGTTTCGAGAGCTGTTTGAGGAGTGAATACCCTCGTCTTCGCCGTGTGAGAGATGATGGGTGCCTTAGAGGAGCGCTTGTCTTACCTTGTGGGACCCGTCAGTCCTCCTTGTAGTCCTTCGTCAGGAAGCCTCTCCCCGCCGTCACCTCACCAGGACCTCACCACACCTGCCGAAGACAGTGATCTAGGTGAGCTAAACGATCATTTATTCTACTGACATTAATCTACTTCTAGGTAAACTTGTCCTCATATCAACATTCACACTGCCCTTTACGTATTTCACGTATATTGAAGCACTGCTCGTATAGGGTATGCCAGTCATATTCTGGTCGCCTGACTGGTTAACTGTCAACAAACATAAGTCTTGCAGCTTGCAAAGTGTGATTTTTTTTTTGCAAAATATCTGCGGTAATCTCTTAATATTTTCTCGTATAACTAAATACATTAATAGTGAAAAGATTAACCAATGATCTCTCTAATTACCTCTATATCTAATGCCCAATTGTGTTCTTGCGTGTGGGCAGAACATCTACTTTAAGATAGCATAAGGGGGACAATTAAGACAATTTCCTCTGCAATTAAGAGCCTGCAATTAAGGGTCATTTGGCTTCGATGTCCCATAGTAACCTCAGCTAACCAGGTGTTGTTGTTTTCGTGCAGGAAGTGGCAAGTCTGGTGTCGAACCCTCTCCTGCAGCTACCCCGTCGCCGTCTCCCAAGGGCGCGGCGCCCAGCCAGCCCTCGGAGCTTCGGCGGTACAGGACGGCCTTCACCAGGGAGCAGATCGCCCGCCTGGAGAGGGAGTTTACGAGGGAGAACTACGTTAGTCGCCCAAAGCGCTGCGAGCTGGCCAAGGAGCTGGGCCTCACTGAAGCTACTATCAAGGTAAATGGTCTCTCTCTCTCTCTCTCTCTCTCTCTCTCTCTCTCTCTCTGTGCTGTTGTGATTTGAACCAGTTAGTGATGTTGGATGTTCTTATTATCTATAGAGGAAAGGACACAACACATTCACCTAGATACATAACACATTCACCAGGATACACGACACATTCATTCACTTGGATACACGACACTCACACATTCACCTAGATATACAACACACATTCAGCACAAGACTAATACAATAAATATTAAAACCATGCAATACGCTCATTAATTAAATTTAATTATAAAACTTTGTATTCCTTAATTACTGTTTATATAAATGTTGTTATTTACTAAATTCCCAAACATCATTAATTTTATCATATATATATTATTTACTTAGTTTAATTATTTTGATAACTATAATAATACCTTGTACACTTGTATTCAACACTGAACACTTGAACATTCACCACCACTGAACACTTGAACATTCACCACCACTGAACACTTGAACATTCACCACCACTGAACACTTGAACATTCACCACCACTGAACACTTGAACATTCACCACCACTGAACACTTGAACATTCACCACCACTGAACACTTGAACATTCACCACCACTGAACACTTGAACATTCACCACCACTGAACACTTGAACATTCACCACCACTGAACACTTGAACATTCACCACCACTGAACACTTGAACATTCACCACCACTGACACTTGAACATTCACCACCACTGAACACTTGAACATTCACCACCACTGAACACTTGAACATTCACCACCACTGAACACTTGAACATTCACCACCACTGAACACTTGAACATTCACCACCACTGAACACTTGAACATTCACCACCACTGAACACTTGAACATTCACCACCACTGAACACTTGAACATTCACCACCACTGAACACTTAAACATTCACCACCACTGAACACTTGAACATTCACCACCACTGAACACTTGAACATTCACCACCACTGAACACTTGAACATTCACCACCACTGAACACTTGAACATTCACCACCACTGAACACTTGAACATTCACCACCACTGAACACTTGAACATTCACCACCACTGAACACTTGAACATTCACCACCACTGAACACTTAAACATTCACCACCACTGAACACTTAAACATATAAACACATACTCACCATATGTGTCATCTGCACTTCAGGTTTGGTTCCAAAACCGACGCATGAAGGACAAACGGCAGAGGCTGGCGGTGGCCTGGCCCTACACGGACCCGACCCTCACAGCCTACTTGATCCACGCCGCGGCTGCTTCAGGAGCCTATCCTAACTACCTGACTCCCTCAGCGGCGCCCGGGGCGGCCTGGGGTGGACCTGCAGGGATGGGTGTCCCTCAGTCTATCCCCTACGCTGCTCCTCACCTGTCGTACAGCCCTCAACTCGCGCCCCCAATCACACGTTATTCTCCCTATCCACGCCCGCAGCCGCCCGCGACGTCCTCTCTCTACTCGGCTGGCAACGACGCCCACGTCTCTCTACCGTTGGCGCCTTCGCCCGTTGTCCCGCGGGCGGCCTTGTGCGGGCATCTGCCCGCCTGTCCAGCCTACACCTCGCCCAGGGACGTGTGTCTCTGCGGGTTCATGTACCCGCCTTATGCCCAAAGGCTGAGCCACGCAATGCCCGCTACAACCCATAATTTATGTCCACCAGTCTCGTCTCCATCTTCCTTTTCCCCCGTGTCCTCCTGCAGCAGCAGCAGCAGCATCAGCAACAGTCCGGAGAGACAGCAGGAGTCCCCCAAGCCCCACTCCCCCCAGTACCCCGAGTCCGTTCCCCCTGTGTCGTCCCCATGCCCTGGTGCCGTTCCAATGAGGTCTCCTCTGAACCCCGGTGCCATTCCCACAAGGTCCCCCCTGAACCCTGGTGCCGTTCCAATGAGGTCTCCTCTGAACCCTGGTGCCATTCCCACAAGGTCCCCCCTGAACCCTGGATCCATACCCACCACCACCACTGCTCCCAGACTGTTTAAACCTTACGATGACGAGCCCTTGGCCAAGGCGTAGAAAGTCGCCGGTAAAGTTGGCTCGACAAGTGTGTTTACCTGTGATGTGATGTACAGTGATTAAGATGTGTGTGAGTGATATATTTTGTTAAATAAATTTTTGTTTATGTTTCTGCATTTTTCATTCTACTACCAGACCTTATATAGGGAAAAACAACAGTATGTTGTATGAATGTATTATAGGCCTTTGAATACTCAATGTTACATAGAGGTTAATAAAAGATATTGGAAATAAAATGCTAAATTTTACGTGTTTAAAATAGAATATATTTATTCAAATATATTTATTAAAGGAAACTAAAACATTTGATGACATTTTTAAACATTACTATCAAATTCATTTCAATGACAATTACTGAAACTTTTGCAATGAGTGAATGACCTTCTAATGCTCCCCGTTCAATCCTTATAATAACAGCTAAAAACTACTTATTAGATATTAATTGACTTTAGTAAAATTACCCAAGGCATTCCTACTTTATATCGTTTAATTACTCCACTGTTATGTACATTATTGCAGAATCAACCTCAGCTGTGTGAATTAAAAATCGTTAATAAGATTGCAGTTAGTCATTAGTTTTGCCCTTATCAGCCTACGTAAACTGATAATAGTACTATTAGTGCACAGAGAAATCACCCATTAACGTTATGTATGAATGAGAAAATCAAGAGAGCCGTGACAAGGATTCGATTCGGAAGTGGATTTTTTTTAATAGATGAGTTACATCTGCATTAGTGCAGCTGCCCTAGACTATATGAAGTGGAGTACAGTGTGTGTCATTAGTGCAGCTGCCCTAGACTATATGAAGTGGAGTACAATGTGTCAAAAAAGCTAACTACGTGATGCTAAAAAATCTCCATCACACAGGATGGTTAGTCATACAGAGGCATGTGATAGGCAGTCTGCACTGGCAGACTCCGGATGCATTTTGAGGATATCATCAACACAAGATTGAATACGGTACCAGTGGTAATTAAAGTCCCCATCTCGCAGCATGGTTAGTCATACAGGGCCATATGTTCAGTAGCCTGCACTGGCAAATTTTGGGTACACTGTGAGGATATCTTCAAGAATACGAGAGTGAATAAAGTAATTGCAAAGCTCCAGGTACCTCATGCCAACTGGTCTGAAAGGTCTAGTAACTGGGCATTCGGTGATGTAGTGTGGGAGATCATGCCACAGTTCCTGCTCACAGAGTTTGCAACTGGAGTGCTCAGGATTGGGAGATCCGTCACCTGCAGCCACCTGCCACAGGTAACGGTAACCCAACCTGATCCTTGCAACCACTGTGTCGCACAGTCTAGTGGACGTTTTGTGCTGCCCATAGATATAGATTTCAGATCTGAACAAATCATAGCTTTTTATACTAATACTTTCAGGTCGTTGGGAGTCAGTAATTTCTTTCCTATCAGACCTGAGTGTTTGGACCAATACAGTTTTGACAGCAGAGATGGGGATACCTAGATCTAATTCAACTTCATCCTTGTTACACGCTAATTTGGCTGCAATGTCTGTCTTATTATGATGGGTTATATTTATGTGTGAAGGTATCCATACAAAGGAGATTCGAGACCCTTTACTCTGTGCAGCAATTAGGTCATTTATAATTAGTAGTATGAAGTTCTTGCTGTCGATCTTCCAGGAGAAGTTTTCGATTGCTTGAAGAGCAGACTTTGAATCACAAAATATTATTCCTCCTCCAATTTTTTTTAATGTACTGGTAGCTAAGTGTAATGCTGCTAGTTCTGCTTGTGTGGAGGTCAGCCAGTTGTTTAACCTGACACTGATAGTCTGTGTGCAAATATTATTTCTATAAAACCTACATGCTGCTGCAGTCCGTCCAGTAGAGGATTGGACTGAGCCGTCGGTGTAGACACAGTGCTCGTGAGATCTTAAACTCTCGATGGAGGAGTCAGTTGTTTCAAGAGTGACAGCTTTGAGAAGAGCAAGATTCTCATTATCTTTCTTGGTGACAGGTGTGTATGATACTTGAATGGTGGGGTACAGATAAAGAGGAATATCAGAGACAGGTAGATTGCACTTAAAAGGAATGTTAAGTTTAATGAGATTGTAGGCATGAAAAATAACGTTAGAAACTCTACGGTCTTCCCACTGCCTCTTCTGGACCCAGGTAGCCCCCAAGCCGCTTGGTCAGCACCCGGTCGACTTACCTGAAGGAAGTCAGGTCAACAGGCGAGAAAGATCATTATACCTCCCTTGACACAAATCCTCACCCCCATTATAAGGTACTTATCAACAACTCGCTGCTTCAGCTTCACATTCCCCTACATATAGCTAATGTAAGGAAAGGCAGACAAGAGTGTGTTCGAAGGGCACTGTATTACGATATACAGTAGATTACAAATAGATATGATATCGAGGTATAGTATTACAAATCGCTGTAATTGTTTATCCTCTGGGATTAGTGGGATAAGCTGCTTATTTGAGGCTTTTAATGCCTTTGATCTATGTGTGTGTAAATGTTAGTAATAATTGGATTAAGTTTCAAGGGCTAGTTTGATCTGTTAAGTCCGTACGTTCACATGTTAAATCCCTATATCTAAGGGATAGGCATTTAAACATCGAATCCCTTTGATTTTTAATTTACACTGAGTGTACATTGCTTGAACAACAGGGCCTAGTGACGCTTCAAGATGTTACACGACCAAAGACCAACATTCACTCCAAACATCTACACCACCTACGGGGCTATTCGTGCCCATGCCACCTCTGGTAGTGGCTTACTCTTCATCAATCAATCATCTTGAAAAAAAACAGAAATACGGAAATTGGTAGTGTACCTTGAGGTTACCTTGAGGTGATTCCGGGGCTTAGCGTCCCCGCGGCCCGGTCGTTGACCAGGCCTTCTGGTTGCTGGACTGCTCAACCAGGCTGTTGGACGCGGCTGCTCGCAGCCTGACGTACGAATCACAGCCTGGTTTATCAGGTACCGTATCAAGTTCTATGGATGTGTGGTAATATTACAACTTATAGGTGCAATCCTTAGTAGATCCAAACACTTTGCAATATAATTATTTTAATAATACTCTCATATTTTTATTTTGTACTGTGATTAATATTGAATTAATTTTTATGCATTTGTAATGTAAAATATGATTATTATTTTGTGTTCTGTATAGATTTGGGAGCCCTGTAGGGACCTGAAATATAGTAGGGAAGAAATAGCTTATGCTGTTCTATCCCTTTGTCATGTATTTTATTATATCAATAAACTTATTTGAACTTAAAACTTGATCTGAAAATAAAATTAACATTCGAAGTCAAATTCTGGTATAATAGCTCAGACCAGTGTACTTGTTGCAACCAGGAGAGGAATTACAAAGATCTTTTGCAACGAACGTATTTGACAAATTATTACTGTACTGAATGTTTAATATTGTCCTTGAAGTTCAGTAACATCTCAATGTAACTACATTTCGGTTCTAAGAAGAGAGAAGAAAGGTATGTTTACACCTCCTCCCACCTTGCAAGCAAGCTTCTCCTAAACCCCCACCCTTCCACAGACTAAATAACTCTCACGAAGCGAAAACTTTCTTAATTTTAATAATAAAGAATTGAAAATCAAAAGACCTAAACACCCCCACACCACGGGAGACATCTCCCGTCACGCAGGGTGCAGTCGCACCTCCACAGATCTCCAGTATCATCTATTGATACTGGAAATGGCTCAAAAGGGCCACCACTTATGGGCTATTCATGCCCGTGCCACCTTTTGGGTGGCTTAATCTTCTCTCTCTCTCTCTCTCTCACCCTCACACACACTCATCTGCATTGTCATGTTCTTACGTCACCCGAGTCTCGTGGTTTAGTTCTTAAGTTCTCTGTCTTGGTCCCCTTATATTCTTACCTTAAAACTCTACCTTCTTTTCCCTACCTACCTACCTTTGTTCTCCCCCTCAGTCGTTCACAAGTGGTCCACGACGACGGATCTAAACGACGTCGTTTTCTTTATTTTCAGGTGTGTGTGTGTGTGTGTGTGTGTGTGTGTGTGTGTGTGTGTGTGTGTGTGTGTGTGTGTGTGTGTGTGTGTGTGTTGTTACAACTTATTATTATTATACATTTCAGTATCATTGTAATTATTATGGAGAGAGAGAGAGAGAGAGAGAGAGAGAGAGAGAGAGAGAGAGAGAGAGAGAGAGAGAGAGAGAGAGAGAGAGAGAGAGAGAGAGAGAGAGAGAGAGAGACAGACAGACAGACAGACAGAGACAGAGAGAGTGTTTCACTATCGTGGAGGGTGTGAGGTCAGAGTTGGAGAGAGGGGTCATTATAGGTCCCCTGGTAGAAGTTCAGCATCATTATAGGGAACTTGTTAAGTTCTCATCCCTCGTTCTCACCATTCTAAGTTCTCTTAAGACCCAGGTCTACGCTCAGGTGCTGGGAGGTGAGAATGACTGAGACAAAGGCATCTTGTAATTACGAATTGATGTGTTTTGGACGTTCTAATATAACCCCAAATGTGACTTTTGTTGAACTTTTAAAAATGTTGAAATGATGAGGAAGAAAGAGGGGGACAAATTGGTGTACGTAAAAAAAATATATTTATATAGGTTTAAGTTAATACAGAATATAATGTATTGTTGTCAATCTTGTCAACTTTAATTCTAAATTCAGGAGTAACAAAAACTTTTGTGAATATACACTGAGAAGCAAGGTACACCTCTCAGTGTATATACACCAAGAAGCAGTGTACACCTCTCAGTGTATATACACCAAGAAGCAGTGTACACCTCTCAGTGTATATACACCAAGAAGCAGTGTACACCTCTCAGTGTATATACACCAAGAAGCAGTGTACACCTCTCAGTGTATATACACCAAGAAGCAGGGTACACCTCTCAGTGTACATACACCGAGAAGCAGGGTACACCTCTCAGTGTATATACACCAAGAAGCAGGGTACACCTCTCAGTGTATATACACCAAGAAGCAGGGTACACCTCTCAGTGTATATACACCAAGAAGCAGTGTACACCTCTCAGTGTATATACACCAAGAAGCAGGGTACACCTCTCAGTGTATATACACCAAGAAGCAGGGTACACC